CTGAATGATGATGGGACACTGCTTAAGGTTTGTGTATGATGTGAATAATGCTTTTTATGGTAGTTCATGCTTTGCCAAAAATTAAAAGATTTTTGACTGAATGGCTTTGTTTTTTTGCTCTCAGGTTCAGTTGGATCCCTCTGGGATGTTTCTGGCCACCAGTTGTTCAGACAAAAATATCTGTATCTTTGACTATGAGTCAGGCGAATGTGTAGCCACCTTATTTGGACATTCGGGTAAGATTGTTTTTCTTAATCACTGATTTCATTCTTTCCCCACATAAATCTCCTTATTGTTGAACAAACTTTTATCCCCGCACAGAAATTGTTACAGGTATGAAGTTCAGCCAGGACTGCAGGCATCTGATTACAGTCTCTGAATGATTCACGGGACTCCCGCAAAATAGAAATGATCTTAACATAAAGTGTCTAAAACATATAAATTGTTATTTGTCTGTTACACTAAAGCTAAAAGAACAACTAATATTAACATTAAAATGATTAACGCGCAAGCTAGACATAGCCTAGTTTTCATTTATAATGTAGCCAATCACAGACTCAGCTGTTGCTTTCTGGAACGCAATGGCCAATCAGAGGTGATCAAGTTAGAAGCTACTCACCGCAGTGCTGAAATTGCGTGCTCACGAATCCTCTCATTTTAGACACTCTGAAAGATTAATTGTGCATCTATTTAGTGTTATAACAGAGCTTTATGAGATCGTAATTAACTGAGATGTCAGCTTTTTGTGATAATAAAGGAAGTGTGCTGCTTGCATTCTGCCATGCCAAACCATGCACGCAGCAGCCCAGGTTTGCTTTCCGTAAAAAATAACAGTGGTTGTGAATGTTAATGCTTAGTCTAAATAACAAATATTTTATCGGTAGTAGTTTGTTTATGCTGGGATGTTGTGGAGCTTAGGAGATGTTACAGAACCATTTCATGTCAATTTCTTCAATGTACTTAAAACAATCTATATAGATTACTTTTATGCGGGCGGGAGCGGGACAAAACACGAATGTCGCGGGCGGGAGTGGGACAAGATAAGATATATTTTTGCGGGAGCGGGCGGGCGCGGGACAGAATCTTGCGGGAACGAGCGGGCCTGAAAAATCCGTCCCGCTCAGGTCTCTAGTTCAAAGTCGAAATGTGTTGCTGTTGTGCATTATACAGACTCATGGTTTCACAGCAGTTTGCTGTCAATGAATAATTGTGCATTTATGCCAAGCAGTTGTTTATGATCTACTGTTGATGAATTGTGACTTTACTTCATGGTGTTTGTATTTTGATATGTTGACGTTAATATGTAGATGGTTGAAAGTGCATTTTTTTCTCTTATTTTGAACTCCTATTTTGAGCAGCTGGAAGTAGTAAAGCATATACTGTAACGGGGCTGACGAGACGTGAGACGTGCGGATCCATGTGCAAGCTTTATTTAAAGCAGAGAGGTCAAACACAGGCAGGGTCGAACAATGGCAAACAGGTATATGGCGGGCAAGACACAAGAATAATCCTAGGGCTAGCGAAGGTCAACGATCGGCGAACAGAATCAAAAGGGCGAGACTAGAGGGATAAATCCAGGAACACAGGAAAAGGTCCAGGCATGGGCAAACAGAGTCCAAACGGCAAAACGACAGGGCAATCCAAAAACAAAGGAAGCGATATATACACGGGAAAACAGGCAAGGCAAGACTAGACTAAACTAAACTAGGAACTATGAAAAAGACAAAACTAAGACAATAAACAGGCTCCGTATAGCAGCTATATAATCGCGACTATAATCTTTTTTGTTTTCGTAAAGGGTTACTCCACCCCAAAATAAAAATGTTGTCATTAATCACTTACCCCCATGTCGTTCCAAACCCGTAAAAGCTTTGTTCGTCTTCGGAACTCAATTTAAGATATTTTGGATGAAAACCGGGAGGCTTGTGACTGTCCCATTGACTGCCAAGTAAATTACACTGTCAAGGCCCAGAAAAGTATGAAAGACATTGTCAAAATAGTCCATCTGCCATCAGTGGTTCAATCTGAATTTTATGAAGCGACGAGAATACTTTTTGTATGGAAAGAAAACAAAAATAACGACTTTATTCAACAATTCGTCTCCTCCGCGTCACCGTAGCGCCATTTTGGAGAGTATCCACTGAACGTAAACTGCGTATGCTGTTCTGTGTCAGCCGCGCCACACGGATATGCTGTTTCCGTTCAAATCAAAGCGTAAATAAACTTAGAAAACGTATCCGTGTGGTGCGACTGACACAGACAAGTAGAACAACATACGCAGCTTGCGTGGAGTGGATACTCCAAAATGGCGATACGGTGACGTGGAGGAGACAAATTGTTGAATAAAGTCGTTATTTTTGTTTTCTTCGTGTACAAAAAGTATTCTCATCGCTTCATAACGTTACGGTTGAACCATTGATGGCAGATGGACTATTCTGACGATGTCTTTCATACTTTTCTGGACCTTGACAGTGTAATTTACTTGGCAGTCAATGGGACAGTCACAAGCCTCCCGGATTTCATCCAAAATATCTTAAATTGTGTTCCGAAGGGAAAATTTTACGGGTTTGGAATGACATGGGGGGGTAAGTGATTAATGACAAAATTTTCATTTTTGGGGTGGAGTAACCCTTTAAAACTCATTAACGCGTCAGCCAATATCGATTGACCTTACCTCAATGTGTGTAAAGGGTAGTTCACTTAAAAATGCTAATTCTGTCATTTGCTCATGTCGTTCCAAACTTGTATGACTTTCTTTGTTCTGTGGAACATAAAAGATATAATGAAAGTCAACGGGAACCGAAGCTGTTTGGTTACCAACTTTCTTCTATTTTCCATAGAAGAAAGAGATACACACAGGTTTGGAATGGCATGAGGGTGAGTAAATAATGACTCAGTCTTCATTTTTGGGTGGAATAGCTCTTTAAGAACTCCCCAAATCTAAGTCTTATTCTGGGGTTTGTGTGTGTATCCAGCTGTGTGTTTGTGTGGCGGCTGGACTCTCAGATGACCAACTCCATGAGGAAGAGGCTGGCAGAGAGGAAGCAGCAAGCAGGTCTGAGGGTTCAACGGGCCCCCAGCCAACAGCAAGCCATCAGGTAGAGTCACTGCAAATCTGATTCATATAGTAGAAAGTATTTTTTTTGTTTTGTTTTTTTTTTTGAAAAGAGTGCCAACTTACTAAAGAAAACAGAAACAAGGCTCTTGTCTTTTGCCAAGTAGGCAGAAAAACTTCACCCATAATACACTGGGCATATTGCTGTTCAAGGCCACTCCCAGTCTCTATTATTCACTCCCCCCACCTACAATCCCTGCTGGTACTGAGACTCGAACCTGCGACCTTCGGGTTACAAGTCAGACTCTCTAATCATTAGGCCACAACTCTGGAGATGAAGTTCATGTGTTCATGTCCTCATATAGTGAGACGCAGGCAATGAAAAAAGCATGAGCATCATGCATGCTTTAGTATGTGTAGTAAATGTCGATCTGAATTTCTGTGGTTAGGCATACAAAAATGTGGACGTAAAGATGGTTTTGTCATCTGGCGGACTTTTGCTGATAAATAAACATGAATTTTTCAGTGCAGGTAACACAGAAAAAGAAAACATTGTTCATTCACATATGCTACCGATATTGCTGATTTTCAACCTGCTTTGTATTATAAAAAAAGTTACACTTTAAGCTTCTGACAACTCTTCTAGTCATTTCCCCAAAAGTTTGAGTTAGAATAGTTTTGCAAAAGCATGGTTATGAATAAAATTGAGACCGTAAATGTGGACTAGTAAGTAGATGAATTTACCTGTTTGTCTGCAGTCCCATTTAGCCACTTGTTAGCATCCACCTTTTTCAAAACAAGCAAAACCTTTGTTTAAAAAAAGATAAAGAAAAAGGGGTATTACTTAGACCTATGTATTTTATGCCATAAAATAAAACACAAAAATATTTTGCGCTTGAGACATTATTTCAGGCATTTAACCAAAAACCCATTAAAAAAGATTAAAAAATTAGACTTTGGGAGAATGGAACCAGTAGTGCTAAATGTACAAAAATGTCATCCCTGCAGCATTGATAATTATGTGATGATTTTTTAAATGAATTTTGCAGATACCAACATATTTTTACTTTATTTGTTTTTAAAATATTGATTTAATTTGGGGTTATATGATTAAATATTGCCAGCAATTCACATTAGTGTCTCATTTCATTTATTTTATAATTAAATTCCTATTGCTCAGGAGAGAGACCTACATCGCTGTACCCTGTAGTGCTTTGCCTCACATGGAGGAGGAAGAGGAAGGCAGCTTGATGCCAGAGAAGGCTCCAGACGATGGTGTGGAGGACTGCAGAACTCCAGACAGGCTCGACTCTACTGATGGTGTGTTGATTTATCTCATCTGTGGTGATATTGAGAAGTCTTGGGCCTCTTGGTCACATTAAGTGCATAAGCAAAATGTATAGAATGCAGTTTAGAATGGAGTTTAATGGGCTTGACTGTTCTACTTTAGCATCTGTGGATTCAGTGGTGCTCCAAACCAATGGCAAAATGCCCATGTGGGTTCGTAGACTGGTATGTATGTTCCTGTTATCATAAACTGTTGTGCATATTGTGTTCTTTCATGACTATTGGATCTCTTGGGTGTCACAGGGTGGAGAAGGTGAAAATGATGGTAGTGGCATAGCTAGTAGATCTCAGTACCAGCCACAGGGGCGCTGGGCAGTGCGATCAGATCCACTAGCCATCCGCACAGTACTGGAGATGAAGAGCATGCAGCTTCCCCTCTCACACACTCCCAGCAGAGCCGTGGGAGAGGAAGAGTTTGAGGAAGACTCTCGCTTTCATCCGCAGAGTTTGGACAGTCTGCTGGAAGAAGATGTTGACGATGATGATCTAGAGGAGGAAAAGATTTGCCGTGTAAGTTATGCAAAGCTGATGTCCCACAAGCCATTTTTTCTGACTGTCTGTGCACATAGCTGCATCGTGCGGAAATAATTAAATCTGTTCTGATGAACAAACAAACTCATCTATACCTTATAGAATGGCCTGAGAGTAAATTTTCAGCAAATAAAAATTTTGGGTAAACTATTCTTAAATGCGCCATTCACACTGCCAGCGCTGCTACATGTCCCTAATCTCTGGTGTAGACTGCAGAATATGACATTGGAATCAGATGAGATATATTGCTGGTAAAATGTCAAAATATCATTCTAATTTAACTAGTAATAGTTTTGTCGCTAAAGAAGTAGACTAAAATTCCGCTGTTGGAGAGTGTTATGTAAACTACAGCAGTGCTAGTGTATTAAATCATTAACAAGATGAACAATCCATCTAATTTAAGCTCACACATATTGCAAAAAAAATTAAAAACATATATTTTGACAAATGATTATCCCTAATAATAAACATTATGCAGAGGTTTTAGTTTGAACTGCATCTATAAATGTATGAATCAAGATCATTGTATTTAGAGACAAATCATTGATATCGCTCCAGAAATTGTCATTGCGATTTGATTTTGGTTTAATACTGGAACATTCCTGTGAGTCAGAGTGACTTTGTGGTGTATACTTAGGCCTGGGCAATAAAACGGTATCAGTATTTACCGACGGTACACCATCACTGATAACGATACAAAAAATGAAAGAAAAAAAAAATGTTCGATTGCGCACGATATTTTCACACTTTTTTCATTTAAAGGCGTGTTTTGAGTGACAAGCAGACAGCCAACAGAACACACACATGCTGAAATGAGTGCCGTGCCTGCCTGCGATGAGACTGTGAATCAAAAAAAGGAATATTAGTCAAATTTAAAATAAAAATTTGCATTCGAATTCAAAAATGGTGTATTTGAATTTTAGGTGTGCGTCAGGGAGCCTTATCAGTGCCGCACGAGATGCGGTGATGTAATTGTCGTTGTTGCATTTGAATGTTTTTGTTAGTCTATCCAATTGAACCCACAGGATGTGCCGCTGCGGCATTTTTCATTCAAAATATTAGAGAAATATAGAAGATCAATGCGGAGAAGATATTGGTTAGGTTAGAAACCAAGCCATTCACACAGAACGCATATTCGGCGCATTTTTAAGACGCACAACTGTGACTGTTGCACTAGCGTCTCTCACAAGAGATTAATAGAAAGTCATGTAAAATTAAAAGAGGTTCAACTTTTAGAAAACATGTCTTGAGAATTTGTGGAGGTTTTATTCCATTCCAATGCATCTCATTTGTTTTTAAATGCAATTGTGTGATCAGCGCTTTGGCTATTTGTATTAAGCTATGCATAAATACATGATGCTGTTTTGTTCATAATTGTTTATGCAATTTACGAAATTATATTTGACTTATAAATATTAGTTGGTATGCACTTTTATAGACCGCCATTATTTAATTGCATTGAATAAACAATTAATGAGGTGCAATATTTTGCTCATTGCGCTCTCCTGTGGCCTCAGGAGACAGGCCAAAAGTTTCCTTTACACTTATTTAATCTGCATATAAAATATAAGAAAGGAGATATTTGTTCTATTTAATTTATTTTGTGTTTTACTGTTAAAAATAAAATAAGTTGTTGTTTATCTTAATAAATTGGGTAAATGGAAAAATACAGTGGTTAAATTTAAATCTTTTTTCTAATGCTCTGTTTAAGAAAGGTTATAAAAAATGTTCAATAATTATCGATACCAAATGATATGAAACATTATGTTGTGATACATTTTTTAGCTATATCGCCCAGCCCTATGTATACTGAAAAGAGAAACGGGCCAAGCATTGAGCCCTGAAGTACCCCAATAGCTGCTTGATGTGCCTGTCACCATTCCTCAACATTTGATGTGATTTAATTTGATTGAAGATACTTTTATACAATTTATGAACTAATATGAACTGTCTTTGCTAAAAAGTTCTTGTTGTTACATGATGCAAGAAGAAATGTATGAATCACACTCATTAAGACTGCTGACAGTCTTTTCTGCATCATTTTATTATAGCCAGGTTTGTTTTTACAAATCATATAGAACAGTGAAATCGCTCTATAAATTATCTGTCCGTTCTTGCCTGCACAGCAAGCTCAAAGGGGAACTCAAAGGTGACATTTGAGCTCCCCTTACACAGACTTCACTCCTATTGGTTGTTGCTCCTGAAAGTTGCTCTTCATTTGCATAAAGTTAAACATTTCTCAACTTTGTCAAGTCACTGTACATACCTACGTCTTGTTGCCAACGGTTGCTGTTGATTGTGTGCCAGAATTCGCCAGCTCTTTATTGAAAATGATTGGGATAATTTAGTCTGTGACTCCATTTCCATTCTTATATGTGACAGATACTGGACAGAAGACCGCAAGATTTCAGCAAACACTCAGTTAGTGGGACTAACAAAAACATAAAATCTATAGTATGAGCTAATAGTAGCAGTAATGCTATTCTTAACAAGCCTCACTAACAATTGTATCCACATAATCGGGTCCCTTAATTGAAATATGAAAATGTTTGTTTGTTTATTTGTTATAGGATTCCCAAGATGGGTTTAGCTCTTCGCTCCAAGGGCCAGATTTTCTGCAGATGCCACATGGAGAGGAGAACTTCCATCCAGAGCTCAGCTCACCAGAGAAGACTGGCTACATTTTATACCCAGCCAACAGCACTGCTCTGTCCACTGGAGAAGGGTAAATTGGTTGTAATGACATCTTGGCTTGGTTCATTTTTAATTTAGGGAATAGGTGTATTTTCATTCATTCATTTAGCAGATACAGTGGGTACGGAAAGTATTCAGACCCCCTTAAATTTTTCACTCTTTGTTATATTGCAGCCATTTGCTAAAATCATTTAAGTTCATTTTTTTTTCCTCATTAATGTACACACAGCACCCCATATTGACAGAAAAACACAGAATTGTTGACATTTTTGCAGATTTATTAAAAAAGAAAAACTGAAATATCACATAGTCCTAAGTATTCAGACCCTTTGCTCAGTATTTAGTAGAAGCACCCTTTTGATCTAATACAGCCATTCTAAGGTCTTATATAGACAGGTGTGTGGCTTTCCTAATCAAGTCCAATCAGTATAATCAAACACAGCTGGACTCAAATGAAGGTGTAGAACCATCTCAAGGATGATCAGAAGAAATGGACAGCACCTGAGTTAAATATATGAGTGTCACAGCAAAGGGTCTGAATACTTAGGACCATGTGATATTTCAGTTTTTCTTTTTTAATAAATCTGCAAAAATGTCAACAATTCTGTGTTTTTCTGTCAATATGGGGTGCTGTGTGTACATTAATGAGGAAAAAAAATTAACTTAAATGATTTTAGCAAATGGCTGCAATATAACAAAGAGTGAAAAATTTAAGGGGGTCTGAATACTTTCCGTACCCACTGTACGTATCCAGCAACAGAAATGCTGCAGTGCAGTCTGTTTTTGGTTTAATATTTTAAAAAATGCCTGGATGATGACTTAGAGTAGCATTGTGTACTGAAAAGAGAAGGGCCAAGCATTGAGCCGTGAGGTATCCCAGTGGTTGCTTGATATGACTGTCACCAGTTCCCCACGAGTTAGTTTGATTGGAGGTAATACTTTTGCACAATTTATGAAAGGTTGATGTGCTGGAATCAAGCTATGGATGGGGCCAAGCAACTAAACTGTGTGACAGTGTTTAAACAACCCTGTTTCTTCCATTTATATACAGTGAAATGGGACTTTGTACTAGGGGTTGAACGACTTCAGATTTTTTGAAGTCGACTTTTATGTGATGAAAGTCGAGTCGAAGTCGACTAGTAGCTGATGACGTCATTAATGAACAAATAAGTCTGGAGCTGTGACAAACACCTTGTGCACAGCTATGGCATATGACACAGCACTGCCCACATGGCTGTTGCTCCTATAACAGCTTTTTTATCAGTTCTTTTGTCTTTGGATCATTATATTTCTGCTCATTTTACTGTATTGACCCAAATATAAGATGATGTTTTTTTCTTGGAAATGCATCTGAAAAAACGCGGTCGTCTTATATTCAGGGTCTAGACTTTGACATGTCGGCAAGTGTGTGTTGCCTGGTGTTTTAAAATCTGTTCAGATTTCAGATCCTTTCTGCAGTGAATGGGTGCCTTCAGATTAAGTGTCCAAGCAGCTGATAAAAACATCACAATAATCCACAAGTAAACCACACCACCTTTGCTAGACATAATACATGGAGTACACTACACGATTTTTGTCCAATCTGAGAATATCAAACACATTTGATATTTTGAACCGATTTTATAAAACACATTGGATTTTTTTATTTTTCATGTGTCTCCTAGCACCAAGGCACATTTCTGCATGAGTTTGTTGCATTTAAAACAACGTGAAAGTCTGATAGTGTGTGTGATTCTCAGTCGTTAGTGTATGATGCCCAGTTTTTCACTGTTACCGTTTACAAAGTCGGCAAGTGTGTGTTGCCTGGTGTTTTAAAATCTGTTCAGATTTCAGATCCTTTCTGCAGTGAATGGGTGCCTTCAGATTAAGTGTCCAAGCAGCTGATAAAAACATCACAATAATCCACAAGTAAACCACACCACCCCGGTCCATCTTTTAACGTCTTGTGAAGTGAAAGCTACATGTTTGTAAGAAAGAAATCCATCATTTAGGCATTTTAACTGTTGCTTTTTGCTTAACTGGAGACGTGTGGATTACTTGTGCATTGTGATGTTTTATCAGCTGTTTGGACTCTCATTCTGAGAGGATTCATTGGCGAGCAAGTGATGTAATGCTAAATTTATCCAAATCTGTTCCGATAAAGCAGTGGTTCTCAATTCCAGTCCTGGGGACCTACTGCTCTGCACATTTAGTATGTCTCTTATCTGACACACTCATGGATCTCTCTCCTAACGAGCTGATGATCTGAATCAGGTGTGTTAAATAAGAGAGACATGCAAAATGTGCAGAGCAGGGGGTCCTCAGGACTGGAATTAAGAACCAGTGTGATAAAGAAACACTAATCGACATCTTGGATATAAATGGAACTACATTTTCAGGTTTTTTGTTTTTTTTACTCCTTTAAGATGATGGTGAAAACCTTATTGCTAATCTTATCTGCTGTGGAAACTCTTGTAGAAAAGTTCAACATGGACTTGAGCAGTCTGCAGCCCACAACAGAGAGTAACTTCCTCAATCTTCGTCTCAGCATCTCCACGCGCTTCCTCTCCCGCTTTCAGAGCCGCTTTCGGTGAGTAAACATCCACGTCTTGACTCCCTTTGTTCAAACTGTGTAATAGAGAAATATAAGTTTACATTTATAGTTCTTCCCTTCCCTTTTGAGATCTAAATAAAACAGTGGAAGTATCTGTGTGATTACATATTGTAGTGTGTCATAGTGTAGATGACTTTATACGTATCTGCTGTTTCAGCACTGTTGGGACTAGTAGCAGTGCTGTTTGCCGGCCTGCAGCCTGCCTGCCCAGTATACCAGATGAATCCAGTGATAGCTGTCCAACCTTCGACGGAACAATGGTAGGATGCTTAGTCTCATGAATAATGTACTTTGAATGACACACATACAAGATGATCCCAGTGGTTGTTCATACCAATCATTATTCAGACTGAACACTGTCACGTCAATCTGTTGCATTTCTTCAGCACAAATGAAGATATGTAATGAAACCTGAATGTTTTCTGTTCCTCCATTAAAAGTTTTTTCTTCTAAAATCATAACACCACATCCTAAAGGTAATCTACATGAATCAAGCGATTTAATCAAAGTCTTCTGAAAAAACACAGTAGCTTTATATGATGAAAAGATTTAGTTTAGACTTGTATTCTTATATAAACATTGATAAATGCACATACAGTATATAGAGCACATCATATATTGTAAATGGAAGCTCAAACATGCTTGTTAACCAACAAGGTTTGCTCTTTTGTCTCACTCAAGCATGATTGAGCTTCCGCAAGAACCAGTGAGGTTTGTCCCTTATGTTTAAAGTCAGTTTGATTGAGCTGCTGTGGCTCTATTTGATATGCTCCATTTATGTGCATTGATCAATGTTTAACTGAATAAAAAACCTAAATGAAATCTTTTCTTCATATAAAGTGAGAACATGGCAAAATTTTTCAGTTTTTGGTGAACTATCCCTAAGTCTTAAGTGTATATCCGCTAATAGTGAATTGTCCTCGTTAAGGATTACACTTTTAGTTTAACTGACCTAATAATATGGATTAAAAACCACAAAAACCTTTTTTTTCCAAGTGAAACTGAATATACGTTAGCTAGAAATATTTGATAGGAATGTTAGGATAAGATACTGTTGGTTATGTTAGTAGAAACAAAAGGTGTGTCCCAAATCGCGTACTTGTGGAGTATTCTATGACGTTTTGTAGTATAAACAAAGCGAGTAGTGTGTTCACACATGGAAAATTCCAAAAATACACTTAAAATACCCAGATGATGCACTTAAATAACTGAAAAAATGAAGTGTGGAATGTTGGACACTTCATGCACTCAACTGTCACGGCTTTAATTACGTAGCAAAGGGGGAGGGGCTATCAGACTCTGATTATGAATGACAAAACAACCTTATATAATTCATGCACTGCATGGTTGAGTACATAGTGTATAAGTGCATAGTGTATAGGGTGTCCTTAGTGACGCAGCTGAAAGCTTTCAGAGGTCTGTAGGTAGAAGTCTGTGGGACTTTGTCTTGGGTTAATTTTTCTCTTTTTCTCCTGCTTTTAAGGACAAGTCCAAGGTTCTTTCAAACAACAGTGGAAGCATTGAGGAGAGTGAGAAAAGTGGTATGTCCTGTTACCTGTTAATAGAGTGCATTTTACTTCCATGAGTGAAAGTGTCCCATAACAGTGAGGTTAAAGGCCCCGAAATACTAACGGCAAAGTTCTTTTTTTTGTCTTTTGAGTGTTCTGACGACACCCACACAGCTGCAAGCGGTGTTCAGATATTAATATGTGCTGCACTCTTTCCTCTCAATAACAAAAACAACACACAGCAAAAATGACAACAGTGAGAAAACAGCAGTTAAGAAAGCATCTGATCATAGTGTTGTGGATATGTTTGCACAAGCTCTGCAATTCGGCACTCCAGTTATGACACTTGGCATTTATATAGCACGCAATAGCAGCTTTACAGTATTTAACATGAAAAAAATGCAGTCAAACTTTAGCTTCTACTTTAAAGCAGCTCTCCAAAGTGTTCATGTTTTTATTTGCATCTGACCTCAAAGGACTGATTTTGATCGAAATGGAGGCATAACAGTTTGTTCTTTAATTTCTCTTTAAGTATATCGGGGCCTTGACAGTATCTGACTGGTCATGTGATCTCAACATATCGGCCCCCATGAGGTGCCTAGCTCCATGTTAAATACAATTGCTTTTATTGCCCCTGATTTTTCCTCTCAGAATGGATTACTTTGTCTAATTAGAATATATCAGAAGTTCCGGCACCGTTTTGTAATTGTAAATATAATGCTGATTTATAATTTATATGCTGTATGCAATATATATGCTGAACTCTTGTCCTCCAGTTACCAAGAAACGTTCCTCAGTGGCTGCTCGGAAATCTTGCCAGAACTTATCTTTTTTACGCTGGAAAAATGCTCTGGGAGGTCTGTGAGAGTGTGTTGGGTGGTTTTTAATGTCTGGGCTTACTAAACCAGTGGTTCTCAAACTTTTTACAGGGGCGTATCCCCTGGGGCATTTAACATTCTTCTGTGTACCTTAGGGTTGGGCCGATAGACGATGCCATCGCCGATGGCTGACAGACATCACAATGTTAAGCTGACATCGTGATTCCTTCCCCCCCCACCCCCTCCCCCGCAATCCGCCACATCCCAGTTCCGTGTTCAGAAAGGAAATGAAGTGTACTATGGAAACCCTAAAGGGAATAAATAGCCTATGAGATGGGAGGATAAAAACATAAAATTTCAATACTTTTTCTCGCAATTATATCGTTGGGGAAGTATAGGTGTATATAAATTGCGGGCGTCAGGGAGCCACTATTGAAACTGCTTTCGATTGTGCGCTCTCATTTCACTCTCACTTTTGAGATTCGCGATCACAAGGACTCTATACTATGGAGCGACAGTACTTACCACACATTTGACAAGATTAGATGTTTGTCATTGGTGCTCAGGATCTGCAAATCATTCGCCATCGTCCTATCAGACATTTCTCCTTACTCTGTGTATGTGGTAAGTGAACTTTCATGTACTGTAATGCAACAGGCTACCGCTAGCAAGCGGCTAACCTTTTAGTGGCTCCGTAGAATGCGTTATTTGTTTCACTCTTTGGGCACACCCCTAACCCCGCCCCCCGATGTCATTGTCCATCACGATGTTTCACTGCAGACATCGTCCGATGCCAATTTGGTAGACATCGCCCAACCCTAGTGTACCCCCTCTCTTCCACTTAGACCGCAGTCACACCTTTTCTATTATAGGACATTATTTGCCCCCTTAAATTGATTTACAGGTGCATTTTCTTTTTTACTTTTATAGAGGCAAAGATTTTCTATCCTTATTAGCTGTATGTTATGTTTTATGTCATTTTCTTAACATTCCATTAAGTGTATTATTAATATAATAAAGAATAAATGATGACAAATTGAAGAGATAGCCTACTTGTAGATTTAAAACTAAAATCGCCAGTAGGTGGCGGCGAGTCACTGTCTTAATGAGCCAGGCGTCGCGTCATTCATTAATTCAGTAACCAAGCAAAATGATGTAGTTATGAATGGGTTATTAATCACTGACTCTCCAAATCGTTGTGAAAACGAAAACAAAACACTGCTGTATGTTGCTTGGAGACGCACACCAGATTATATTTCGTTGGAACTATTATTTAGTTGCAAAATAGAACAAACATGACAATATTCTGTTTAAAATGTAGGCCTAGGCTACATTTAAAATGTAAAATGTTCACTTAATATGACCTTTTTTTGTTGAACTGTTGTAAAAATTGTCACATGCCATCGTTTGGATATTCAGGGAAATTTGCATTCTTGCTCGTATTTTAAACATGAAAACAATAACTCGCACAGGGTATGTGTCAGTATCAAAGAGAGTTTAAATCGATCTCAATGTACTGTCAATATTTGCTCTTCATGCTATTAAGTGAAGATCTACTTTAATGATACATTGAACAGCAGTGCGATTTGCTAAAGCAGCATATTCAGCTGGCATCCTATCACATGCACGTGATCAGTTTTAACCGCAAAAGATGAGGTAAGCTGATTGGATATGATGTATTTGACTGTTTACGGCACTCCCATTTTCCTGTTTTTACATTAGAAGCGGCATTTTGCTTGTCAGAAAAACATGTTCGTTTTAAATTTTACTTTAAGTTGGGGCAGAATTAAATGAATCGCGTACCCCCTCCATCACCTCACATACCCACAGGGGTATGCGTACCCTAGTTTGAGAACCACTGTACTAAATTACCAAATCAGAATGGTTTCACATGGGTGTCTTGGTGGTTTCATGCTTGTTTTGCTCTCTTTTTTTATTTCGTACACATCTTGGTTTTTGGTTGGCTTTGTGCAATTTGGGTTAAACCACCAGCTTTAAAAAAATTTATTAATTCATTCATTCATTCTCTTTTCAGAAATCACAAACAAGAGCATTATGTCCAAAGCTCATAATACTGTCAACACTACAGGCGTTCTCACCACCAAATCTACCAGCAGTGCGTTTGACACATCTGTTACACGCTCCCGCCAAAGCTACATGGGTCCCACTGCAAGCTCCCGGTCAAAGATAACCCAGAGCAATTCTGTGGAGACGTGTACATCAGAAGAAACGCAGTTAAACGCCCCGTCTTTGTCTCTGGACCTTACTGTGGACCAAAGCAAAGAGAACATTGTTCCTCCTTCCTCTTCAGTTCTCTCCTCTGGATCGTCTCATCCGACACCGGCTCTCTCTACTCCTGCCTTGGGTAACCACAGTGCCCGGGCAGCTCTTCGATTGGACCTCATTGGCCCCAATCGTGCCAGTCTGTCACCGTTGGCGCTCAAGAGCAGTCTAGGGAAAGTTGAACGTCCCGAGTCTCCACGTCGACAGGCTTTGGTGACGCCCACAGAGATGCGGTCACTGGGGAAAGAGTGTCGGAAGCAGATCATTAATATTGAGCAGAGTTTGGTTTCTAAGACTTCAAGCAGGTTCTCGACAGGGTCTGAAATGTTTGCCAGGAACTCCACATTGTCAGAAGCCAGTCATTCGGTGATTGAAGACCTGCGGTTTACAGAGTCATGTGGGAATACACAGGCCACTGATCAGATCTCAATGACCAACTCCGTGACTACAGACAGAGAAGATCCTACACAAAATGACTGCGCTGGAGAGGACACAGGTACTTTGTATCCTACATGCTAGAATGCATTCAGATAGCAAGAAATTAGTTGACCATGAACACATGGGTTCTGGTGTTCCATAGTTTATTGCAGTAAGCAGGCATATAAATAATTCCATAGAGATGTGCACAGATTTGAAATCATGTTTACATTGCTCAAAATTCAGAGTAAAGGAATAGTTCACCCCAAAATGAAAATTTGCAGAATATATTTACTCAAACTCAACTACATCTTGGATAGCCTGAGGGTGTTCATTATCTGATTCACATTTCTACTAACCAGAATATTGGCTTGATTTGGTTTTTGCAATTGGGTTAATCTGTTAACATAACATGCTTATTATCAGAATATGACTGAATTCTGATTAATATTGGGATTATATTTATTTGCACAGTCATTGATGCTAATGTTTATTTTTATCTTTCTGCAGACTCGTTGAGTGCCCAGATGTGTAAGGAGATGGTGAATGAACTCTGGCAGACCATCCATAAAACAACTGGCTTTTATAACAAGGTGGTTTATCAAAATCTCTACCTCTGTCAGGGATAACAGATTTAGTTTTCAATTTTATATATAATATAATATATAATGTTTTGTTGCAGATCTATGACTCCACCCCCTAAATTTTCTTTTGCCCTTTATCGTGCTCTCTCATTGGCTGTAGGTTGTCGCCGATGTCATTTCCAGTCAAAATACATTTCACACTGCAGGACCGTGAGTCGCCGACGGATCCAGATATTTAGCATGGCAAATATCCCGCGGGTATCGGCACTTCTCTCAGATCGCGTTTTTTGATAACACGCACTACGCGACGGTCACACATGTGAACAAGCACTGATTTGCTTCCAATTTCTGGGCATTTGTCTGCGCTTTTCCAAAAAAACTGTCAGAGAGTGAAAATCGGGGCTAAATTCGTGCAGTGTGAACCTGGCATTAGTTGACAAGGAGAAAATTGTCATTTATGCTTTTATATATATTCATTCATTCTTTCATTCATTCTTTCTTAATGAAAAATATATTTAATACATATTTTAGTTAACAATAACTCCATCTCAGAAAAGGAATTCTGTAGCACTCTTAGGCCCCGTCCACACGGAGACGGCACACGTTTAGCTGTATACGCATACATTTTGTATCGTATAGGCATTTCGTCCAGACGGATGTGTCGTTTTGGGAGAGTGAAACCGATATTTTTAGAAACCGGGTCCCAGAGTGGATAAATCTTAAAATGCCACTCTTGCGTTTTCGTGTGGACAGCGAATCCGTATATTTTCTGAAACGAAGACGACATCAGCCCACGTCTCGCCCCTAGTCAAACAAAAACATGAACAAACACGGACCGATTGTCTTTTTATTAACTAACATTAACAGATTAATAAATGTATTGTTCCATGTTCGTTTGTATACCGCGCGCAGGGTTTTTGCGCATAGTCCAAGTTTTCGTCTCCAATTTTAGTGTATCTCTGTGGCAGAATTACAGCGCCACATGCTGGTCTGGCATGTATACTACATCGGTTTGTGTCAGTTTCGTGTGGACGCAGATATTTCTTGAGACGAGGGGGAAAAAAGATCAGATAGGGAAAGCTCTGGCTTCGTGTGGACGTAGCCTTAGAAAGTGATTGAAAACGCCTATTGCTAAACCTTACCATAAAACCTTAAAAATCCATCAAATGGTAAAACCCTTCTTCTATCCCCCTCTCTGTAGTTGTGCTCCATCCCGGAGTTGTCAGAGCAGCAGGAACAGATGAAGAGTATTTTGCAGGAGGTGTTTGTGGGGGTACAGAGTGAATTAAACTCCCTGTGCCCACAAGAGACAAGCACCCGTCCTGTACCGGAGGAATCCCCCGGCCGTCAACTGAGGGACGAAAGGACTGTGGCCCTCCTGGATAAATATTCAGAGATGCTCTTACTGCGAATGACTGAAAAAGGAGCACAGGCCACACTGGAGTAACTGCTCGGTTCCCGTCATTTTATTGGCAAAATTGAACTTCTAATGGCGTATACGAATAAGCACCTTTAAATCTTAATGTCTTCCATTGGTTTTATGCTTTTAAATAAACATGTAAATGCATATTTGTTTTTTTAACACTACATTTCAGTACCTGAGTGTATTTGGTCACATACACTTTGCAGTTATTTTGATGCTTTAAAGGACCTTCAGGACCTTTTCCCCCCAAAATCGTTATTTCCATGGTATTTCATGTACAGTTTTGAAAGTTTTTTTAACACTACATTTCAGTACCTGAGTGTATTTGGTCACATACACTTTGCAGTTATTTTGATGCTTTAAAGGACCTTCAGGACCTTTTCTCCCCAAAATCGTTATTTCCATGGTATTTCATGTACAGTTTTGAAACCGTGTTACTTTCGGAATACAAAGTTGAATTATGTACTCAGTTTTGTGTTGAAGTTCTTGATGTTTGATGCTTTTGTAGTTTTGCACCATTTCACACCGCCACAACCACAATCTAAATAAGAGGTGATTCATCGTCATGTTATTTTGAGTATTGCTCTGAATAATGACGTGTTAATATTTCCCAAAGCATCAGGCTGTGACACAATATGCTTGCCACTGGTGTGCTGATCATGCTTTGTCATGTTGGTGTGCAATCCTTTTTTCTTCTTTTCACAAAAAATTTATAGTTTTTCAAAGGCTTTGTAAATATGTTTTAACGCGCTATTTACACTTTATTTTAAAATTAAACATTCAGATATGATTGTTTTTGTGATTCCTTATGATTCTGAAAGTGCATCTGCAAAAACAAATCCAGAGCAATCTATGAGAAGGATTACAGAATTATTTAGTTTTTTTTTTTTTAAAGGGGTCATACGATGTTGCTAAAAAGAAAAAAAAAATGTTATTGGTGTAATGAAATGTTTATGCGGTTTAAGCTTAAAAAACATTATTTTCCACATACTGTACATTATTGTTTCTCCTCTATGCCCCGCCTTTCTGAAACGCGTCGAGTTTTACAAAGCTCATCGTTCTGAAAAAGCGAGGTGTGCTCTGATTGGCCAGCTATCCACTGCGTTGTGATTGGCTGAATACCTCAAGCGTGTGACGGAAATGTTACGTCCTTTAACATACTGTGATGCCTGCGGCAACCACATGTGACGACCCCGGGCTGGACTCCTTTTTTTTTTTATTGGTGTAATGAAATGTTTATGCGGTTTAAGCTTAAAAAACATTATTTTCCACATACTGTACATTATAGTTTCTCCTCTATGCCCCGCCTTTCTGAAACGCGTCGAGTTTTACAAAGCTGAATATCTCTTTGGATTTGAGACTTTAGTCTTTGCAACTTTACAGATCTTCTTTATGCACCAAGAGCTTGTAACACTCCAAAGAGAAAGGACAAAAAAATAAGCTTTTAAATCTTTGATAAGAGATTACATTAAATGCCGTGTGTAGTGATTTTGTGTAAATCACAAGTTAGCATCGTGTCAAAATAACACGTATATTATTTTGGTAGAAACCACTGGTGCATTTTTGTAATGGACACTAATAGAAATGGTTACCCAATATTTTCCAAACATACTAAGATTAACCTGACCTTATATTTTTAACCTTTGTGGTTCCCACAGTATTTGTCACACACACACAGTCATTTATGTGTGACTTACTGTCAGCCTAGTAGCGTCAAACTGTCAGTCATATTAAATCATAGCGTGAGCTGAGATTTCGGTGCTGAAGTGTCAACGCTTGTAGTGTTTGAGGGAAGTGTTTGTACAGCTGTACTGCTTCACCGCACCGGCTGGCAAGCTTTTAAATCTTTGATAAGAGATTACATTAAATGCTGTGTGTAGTGATTTTGTGTAAATCACAAGTTAGCATCGTGTCAAAATAACACGTATATTATTTTGGTAGAAACCACTGGTGCATTTTTGTAATGGACACTAATAGAAATGGTTACCCAATATTTTCCAAACATACTAAGATTAACCTGACCTTATATTTTTAACCTTTGTGGTTCCCACAGTATTTGTCACACACACACAGTCATTTATGTGTGACTTACTGTCAGCCTAGTAGCGTCAAACTGTCAGTCATATTAAATCATAGCGTGAGCTGAGATTTCGGTGCTGAAGTGTCAACGCTTGTAGTGTTTGAGGGAAGTGTTTGTACAGCTGTACTGCTTCACCGCACCGGCTGGCAAATGTTACAAGCAAATTCTATTTCTATTTCCACAGAGGGCGCTTTGAGGCTCAGAAAGCTGTATCTCCATGAGCAGCATTCACATCTTTAAGACGTTGTACAGTGAATGTAACATTTAACATATTTTAATTCTACGTATTGTTACTAGAAATGTGCCACAGGACTATGGATCTATGAAATCAATACACATATTTGAATTTTGAAATCACAATGATTGTGATTGGTCCACCTTGACTAATCGCTGAGAAAAGAATAACTTTCACCTATATAATCACAGTCATAGACTTTAATATACATTGAATTGAAAATGCGCATTAAAGAATTGAGATACGAATTATAATTTGATGCATCGTTTCTAACCAATCAGAGAAAACGTCTGGGCCAAAAGGCCACTCCCATTTTACTTACCCTGATTTAGGTCGACGAGATCTGCTTTCTGTTTCCACGCTTGAGACGCGTCCACAGGTTTGTCATGATTACTCATGAGTGGCAGCAGCAGGCGGAGGCGGCTCCCTGCATGTGTTTACAGCCACTGAACTGACGCGTCGCGTCGCGTCTCAGCGCGCAGAGCTGCGCCTCTATGGCAAGCTGTTTTAGCATTTAAAAGTTTGTTTTGACTATCCATAAATATCATTTAAGATAGGAACAATTGTATTTTGACGAGTCATAATTATAATTCGACTAGTCACAATGACAATTAGAGATATCTGCAATTATAATTGCACTAGTCATAAAGTATTTAGAGATATCTCTAATCCGATTTCTAACTAGTCAAAACTCCATTTAAGATATCTGTAATGACGTCATAGATATCTTCAATAGGGCGTCACACATACGCAAAGGTAATTAGAGATATCTCTAATTCAGTTTCGACTAGTCACAATTATATTTTAAGATATCTGAATTGTACCTGCTCCTAGTCGAATGTGCTGTTGTGTGACGTGAGACTAAATTTACTCAGCTCCTCCCAGAGCCCCTCCCCGACTAATGCTTAGTGCTAACTGCTAACAACAGTGGTCTGCTTTTCTTGTCACGGAGAGAAAAGCTACTGGATGAATTACTTCAGGGGTTATTAAATAATATCTGGATGCA